TCTTGTCAAATTTCTTGCACAGTGGTAATTTGCTGGGAAAAGTCCTTTCCCCCCCGTTCATCTCAAGTGAAAAAAAATAATTTATCTTCACAAGTAGTAATAATTTTTCGATTGCGTTGGATTTCTTGTTTACCTTGGTCTGATTTGGGACTAGAGCCAAAATTTTTCTCTGTTTCACGGATCATTTCTTCGGTCAGGTCAGTAAATTCTTTGGTTCAATTAACTAAACTCTCGAAATTTTCCTTAGTGCCTTTTAAAGTTTCTTTAATAGCACTTGCAAATAAATCAAGTTTAATTTTGGCTGCTTCGGGACTGAGAGTAAGAAAAAGTTGTTCATCATTGGCATAAAAATTCATGTCTTTTATATCACTTTTAATACCTCCTTGTCAATGGTCTAAACTGTCTATAAACTTTTTAAGCTTTCCTCCGAAAAAGGCATCAGCGAGATTACGGGCTTGTTCGTCTAAGGAGTTTCAGTTGGTTAAATTCTCTTCTAATTCTTGCTCAATTTTTTCTAATTCGGTAATTAAGTCTTGGGTCTGGTTGTGGAGAGTTTGGAAAGTTTGGATTTGGGAGTTATCGGGGGAGTTATGAGGATTAGGTTGTGGTGATGGTGAAGGATTTTTATTATTATTAGGATCTGGTTTGGGATTATCTTCTTTATGATTAGGTGATTTATTATCTTTTTCCTTAGGAGATTTAGGATTTTTAGTTGGTTTATCATCCTTTTTTGGAGTTGGCTTATCAGTTTTATCATCTATTCCTAATTCCTGATTAATTTCCTTAATTTCTTGCTCTAATTGCTGGATAATTTGCTCTTGTTCTGAATTGTTTTCACTTGGACTGTTAAGACTATTGATTTGCTGTTCTAATTTAGGCAAAATAGTTTCTAATTTTTGTTTTTGACTTTTATAAGCAGTTAATTGTTGTTGAAGTTGATTAATTTCAGTTTGCAAGTTATTATCAGAGGGAGTTTGGGTTAATTGAGTGCGTTTTTGTTGTAAGGAAGATTCAGTTTGGGTGATATTATGGTTTAGGGTGGTTAGGGTTTTTTTGATTTGGGAGAGTTGGGTTTGGAAGTGTTGGGCTTTTGCTTCGGTTTGGCTCTTAGTTTCTTGTTTAGGTCAAGCCAAATAAGCAACCGTTCCGATTCCTGCTATGGCTATTAGTCCACTAATTAGATAGATGATTGTTGTTTTTTTTTTTTTTTTTTGTTAAATATTCTGTATTCATAGTTCATTATGTTTAGGTTAACACCTAATAAATACTTCTTTTGAAAATACTTATTAGATAAGGGGAAAATTTTACCCTTCCCCTCACTCTTTTACTTAATCTTTACTTTTTTTCTTTTTACTACTAAATACCATTCCTAGGATTATTATCAGCACTAGTAATATTCCCCCTCCGATTATTCAGCCTTTATATTTTTGTCAGAAATTAGAAACTTGTTCTTTGGTTTCTCTACCAGTATATTTATCTTGGCAAGCAGTTCCACAAAAATGTTTACCATCTTTTTCAAATGATATGCCTGGTAAAATCTTGCCACATTCAGCACACTTATAATCGTAATATTCATACATGCATTTAGAGAAACAAAATTTCTTGCCATCGTTTTTTTCTTCACTATAAACATATTGTCCCGTAATGGGTTTTGAACATTGATCGCAGAGAGTCATGGTTAATTATTGCCTTTGGGTGGGGTTTGAATTTGGGTGATTTGTTTGGTTTCATAATCTTCTAAATTAAATTCAGTAGTATAAGTAGTTAAGTCTTCTAAGTCCAAATCTAATAATTCCGTAATTTCTTTAGTATTTATTAGTTGACTATGTTTAATTGCTGTCGGATGCATTTTATAAGAGTTAGTTTGGGAGAAGTGCTTATACTCTTGTTCTATTGGTTGGTATTGTCGAGTGAATTCAAAACTTTTATTTCGATAATTATCATGTTTAATTTCATTATATCAACCACCAATAACCTTATTCAACTTCCTAGCAGTTGGTCTCTTTTCAGGATCAGCATCCCAACACTCCTTAATTAAGTCCTTTAATAATTGGGGTATTTTTAACTTGTTTATATTAGGACGTAAGCCCTGACAAACCTGCAAGGCCAACTCGGTTCCATCTAAATCAGGATGAGGATAAGCCTGAGCCAGTAATTCGTAAGCAATGATACCAAAAGAGTAAATATCCGCTTTTTGAGTATAAGGTTGACCTTGTAAAACTTCGGGAGCAACATAAGGCCACACACCAAAGATTTCTCTTTCTTGTTTTTGAGAATTAACTGGTTGACATAAACCGAGGTCAGTAATAAAACAATTTTGGTAAGAAACATAAATATTGCTTGCCCATTTATTACTTTTATTTAATATATTCCCACTATGAAAATCTCGGTGAACTAAACCTTGGCTATGAATAGAATTTAATCCGCGTGCAATAATTTGTAATTTAAAAAGTTTATCTTTCAAACTCAAATATTTTTTCTGCAACTGTTGCCTAAGGTTGCCTCCTTTCATACATTCCATTACCATCACATAATTCTTAGTTTCGGGGTTTTGGGAAATACCATAGCATTTGACAATATTATTGTTGATATCATTAACTAATTTAGTATTAGCAATCTCATTTAAAAATTCCAAGGTTATGTTTTGGGAATTAGTGAGAGATTTGAGAACAACTTCATCACTTCATCACTTAGCCTTATAAATCTCACTAAAACCACCTTGGGCTAAAAGTTTAGGCTGACCTTGTTCATCTTTTTCGACCTCAAACTCTTCATAAGGAATTCATTGTAATTTACTTAATCCCTCACTTGGTTGTTTTTCAATAAATTTCTCAACCAACTCTTGTCCAGATAATTGTTCTAAAGCTTCCTTTCAATCTTTATCTTTACAAGGCTGACATCAATTTTTACTAGTGTTAGGTTGTTGACATTTTTGACAACGACCATATTTACCAAAATACTTTTCTAACTGCAAAACAATAGGGATTAATTTACAGGTTGGTCTTTTTTTGGTAGAGTAATCAATCTCCTCTAAACTATTAGGTAATTTGTCTATATTTACTTCATTCAGATCCGTATTGCTAATATCAAGATATTCTAACTTTTTCATACCATTTAAATAATCTAAGGAACCAGTGAATTTATTGTAAATACCTTGTTTAATTTTTTCTTGGTTATCATTTCCTAAATAAAGCCTTTCTAAATTAACAACTCCGGTTAAAAAAGATAAGTCTTGGGGAGGGAAGTTATTATTATTTAGATGTAATTTCTTTAAATTAGTGGGATTAGTAGGTAAAGTGAGATTGGTTAGTTGATTGTTAAAGCAACTAACTCTCTCTAACTGGGAACAATTGCTAAGATTGAGAGAGGCTAGTTTGTTATCAGAACAATTCAATTCTTTTAAATTAATAAAATCTGAAAGATCTAGGTTTTCTCCAAAGCCTTTTTTACTAATGTCCAATTCTGTTATTTTTCCTCTTTCTCCCTTGTTTGGGTATGCTTGATCAATATAATCTTGAACCCTTATACATTTAATAATCTCAGCCGCTCCTGGTTTGTTTTTAAAAGTTAGTTTAGTTTCATCTAATTGGGGGGAGATGTATATTTTTATACCATTTCTTCAACGTGAAAAAGTAAAACCTCTTAAATCCAATTCCCCTTCTAAATTAGGTTCATTGAGATAGATTTCTTCTACTTTATTTCTTCCTTCTTTGGGATAATTTTCATCTAATCACTCTTGGGCATTTACTATCTTTTTATTTACCTTTAATTCTTCTTGCCAAGGAGTTTTTGTCTCTAAATTTTTGCTTATTTCCTCTTCTTCAGCAGCAACCATTAATTGACTTTCTTCAGCATTAGATACTTCGGTTTGGTTTACTTCAGTGCTAACTACTTCGGCTAATTCTTGGTTTTCTACTACTGGTTCTGGTTGATTTTCCTCATTATTTATTAATCCAGTTTCTAATTCTATTTCTTCAACATTTTCTTCTTTATCCTTATTATTTTCTTTTGGTCTGCTACCTCAGCAGCATAAATACTTATTGATTATACTTTCTTGATTTTTTGGCATATTTTTTTTATAATTTATCCTGATTGTTCAGGCAAAGTTAAAGAAATTAGGTTAAAAAAGACTACAAATCCCCTATTATTCCTCCTAAAAAAATAATTAGTTGCTAAGAGATTAGAGACCACTTTTTGCTCTCTCTTATAGGAGTGTTTAGAGAATTGTTTCATGTCATAT